AGGTCAGTGGCACAGCAAGGAACAGAATCTATCCAGTGCTGCAGCCACCTCTGCCTTGCGGCCAAACGGCTGAGCACAGCCCCTTATGCCCAAGAGTTTGGGCTCTTTATTGTTGCCTGGTGGAACTTCCTGGCGTCTTTCATTTAGTTTTTAAATCACTAAAAATGCAAAGCTCCAAAAAATAAAAGGAAACAAGGACCTAATTTTCATGCAAATGCTCCGAGCCAAGGGGAAGACGGAGCGTGGGGGGGGGGGGGAGGAATAAAAAAGAGACAATGGCAGAATTGTTTCCGACTAGAATATCTTCCAACTATCTCGAGGCGGCCTCAGTAGCTCTTGAAATCGGAACAAGAGGAGAGGAAGCTGGAGCAAACCAGGGTAGGGTATAAATCAGCAGCGGTGGTAAAGCAGCCGCTCACCCTGGGATCCTTGGAAATGTCTCTCTGGTTCCCTGAGCAGGAACAATCGTTAATGGGGCTAGGTGAAGAACGCAGGGTCCGTCTCCACCACGGCCAGGGGTACGAACGGCCGCTTGTGTAGCTGCACCAGCGCGAGCTGTTCTCTTGCTAATAGCAGAAGTGAGGATGCACAAGCCCCCCTGACTCCTCCAGCGAACGGACATGCTACCGCAGCCAAATCAACTCCAAGGAATAACGGTGCACACAGGCACCTCTCCAGCCTTGCCACACTTGACAGCAGGCTCCGGGGCAGGTCCCATGGTGCTTTTTTATGGTCAGGAACAATGCAGAGGGCATTGCCCTTCTGAACTGTACAACTCTGCACTAGGAGGGCTGCTCCTGAGTTCCTCAACCGGCCGCTACAGCTTGGTTCACTCCCATGCGTGGTGCACCTTTGGCAAGCCAAGCAAGTCTTTAATTGTACTATATGTTGTCCCTTGCAAGACCAGAAGCTGCATCATGGTTACAGATCCTAAGCCCGCTGTGACAATGCGGTTCTGGCGGAACCCAACTGAGAGTGCCAACTCAGGACAAATTGCTAAAATAGGGCAGTTACAGCCCAAGGCCGGGGTTTTTCCACCTCTAAGGCAAACCAAACCAGCCAGACTAAGACTTCGGTCTCACCCCACTGGCTAACCGCAAGTCTCACAAGCAATCTCCTTAGACACTCCAGTTTCCCAGTATTACCACCAGTGCCACACGTTATGGGGACAAATGGTTATAAAACCAATATCCCAGTAAAAGAAAAAGGTTACTCCTGATCCCAAAGGACCAAGCCCCAGACCCAGGTCAATATATAAATCAGAT